TTCAAATTCAATTAATTAACATATAGCATATCATCCAGTTACTCCATTCCCCCACCTCCTACCCTCCAACGACCCTCAGTTTGTTTCCTATGGTTAAGAGTCTCTTATGGTTTGTCTCCCTCTCTGCTTTCATCTTGTTTTATTTTTCTCTCCCTTCCCCATGATCCTCTGTTTTGTTTCTTAAATTCCATGTATGAGTGAGAATTGACAGAATATTTTGAAAGTAACACAATTTTACTATTTCCAACTGCTTAGAGTAACTAGCCATGAGAACAAAATATTGATTGGTAGAGGTCAATATAATAATGCTTCACAGGAGCAGTGCCTGGGTGGCTCGGTCAGTTGGGCATCTGCCTTTGGCTCAGGTCATGATCCCTGGGTCCTGGGATCTAGCCCCTTACTGGGCTTCCTGCTCAGCAGGAGAAGCTCAGCTTCTCCCTCTCCCTCTGCTGCTCTCCCTGCTTGTACACAATCTGTGTGTGTGGGGGGGTGTCAAATAAATGCATAAAATCTTTTTTAAAAATGGTTCACAATGAAAATGACCAATTTATAAGTTTTTGTAATTCCCATTCGTAATAAGTGAAACTGTTTTCACTCTATAAGCTTGCTCCTTCTGGCAGATTAAATATTACCCTTAAAATCTTTCTTAAACTTAGATTAGTTTTTATAACCTTTTTATTTTTATAGAGTCAAAGAGTAACTTCCCTCTAACCTTTGATCAAAAGATTGTAAATTCTAAATCAGTGCTGTCTGAACTAATTTGATTTCGCTACATAGTCTTCTGACATTCAGAAAATTCTATATTAAGAAAATATTTTATCATATGATGATTTATCTTAAACAGAAAAATTGTAGCAAATTCTGTTAGGAAATTCAGATTATTTATCAGTATTTGTGCTTAAATATAATTTTTAAGCACTGCTTGGATTTTTTTTTTAAGTGGCCTCCACACCCAGTGTGGAGCCCAAAACGGGGCTTGAACTCAAGACTCTGATATCAATACCTGAATTGAAATCAAAAGGCAGACACTAACTAACTGAGCCACCCAGGTGTCCCTGGCACTGCTTGTATTTTAAATAAATATATGTTACATTCATCTGTTTTGAAAGCTGTGTCTTCTGTCTCTGTCTTGGTTGACAGAAAAGCCTCTTATCTTAATCTGTCTCTACCTTTCCATCCTCAACTCCCGAATGCATTTTTATTCAATGTAATAATAAGGTCCCTAGAGATAGGAACTGTGTCCTGTTTGCATCTTGTCCTTAACTCCAAGCTCAGAGCTTGGACAGGAGAGATACTTGATATGTATTTTGTTTTTTAATAGAATTATTCTCCCTTTATAAGTTTCAGCAAAAACCAGTTTCACCCAGATTTGTCTAAATACATAGACATCTGCTTCAGCTAACATAGGAAGAAGCACATGTAAAAACAAAGCTTTTTTTGACAGCGGTATACCAATCAACCAAAATAAATATTATTACTTGATCTTCAGGAAGAAATTGTGACGTCATCATCAATTGTTGACAGATTACACCAGTATAACTCCCAAAGAAGAGTCTTGCCCAGACTGAAATTACTGTAGGAGCTCAAGCATCAGAACTAGTTCTTCTCATCACTCCAGGTGCCCTTAAAATTGACCTGACAGGGGTGCATGGGTAGCTCAGTCAGTTAAGCCTTCAGCTTGGGTCATAATCTCAGATACCTGAAACTGAACCCCGCAGGAGGCTCCCTGCTCAGTGGGAGTCTGCTTCTCCCTCTCACTCTCCCTCTATTCATTCTCTCTCTCTCTTTCTCTCAAATAAATAAATAGGATCTTTAAAAAAATAAAATTGACCTGACAGGGGAGCCAACCACATTCCATAGCCACTTTATTGGTGCTTGATAACACTAATGTGCAAGGTATAGTATAACAATCTTAGTTTAGCTATTTCAAATCTATGACTGGTTTAGTAAGATTAACCCTCATGACCTATAATAGTAGCAACAGAGGCAAACATGTGTTGCGCACTTATTTAAAGACAGGTGTGGTGTTAAGCACTTTAATCTCAGCCTGATAACAATTGATCAATGTTATAATTATTAATGAACCCCATTTTATAGGAGAAACTGAGGAAATTGACTTATATAATTTGCCCATGGCTATAAAGCCATTAAAGGTGGTAGAATCAGGATATCAACCCAGTCTGACTCCAGGGTTCTCACGTTTAACTCTACTCTGTACCACTTATAAAATTATCTGGTCTTGAGGAAAAAAAATTGGTATTTCTTTGCCTCATGAAATATAGTTGACCATTGAACATCACAGAGGTTGGGGTGCTGACCCCTGCACAGCCAAAAATCTATGTATAACTTTTGGGTCTCCCAGAACATAACTACTAATAGCCTACTGTTGACCAGAAGCCCTACTGATAACATAAACAGTCAATTAACACATACTTTGTAGGTTATATATTGTTACATACAATATTCTTACACTAAAGCAAGCTACAGAAAAGAAAATGTCATTAAGAAAATCCTAAGTATTATACAGTAAAACATCTGAGTATAAGTGGACCCACGCATTTCAACCCCATGTTGTTAGGAGGTCAACTGTATTTCCAAGTTTGAGAATTTGGTTGGATAAGAAAGTCAGATACTTTATCTTACCAAGGACATTGTACTTAACCATGTTGAAACATCCAGAAATAGTTTACGTATCAGTTTGACTCTAGTATTATGCAATTTGAAGCTAGTATTTGAACATTAAAACACCATTATTTATTCATCCAGAGTTCAGGGTCATTGTATCTTGATGTATGAGACAGAAACTACTTCATGTTCTAATACAAACTCCTTTAACATTCAAACACTTACACACAGTTAACACCACACACCAAATTCTAATCACCTAGAAAGCTGGCTGACCCTAATCTGACTAGATTTTATTAAGCCACCTGAAACTTTAACAACAGTATCATCTGAGTCTTGATTCAGGACTAGAGAAGTTAAATTCATCAGTCATATTCACATTCAAAATGGCATTTGACTCCTGGTCTACAGTAGGCATGAATGAATGAATGGATGAGTGAATGAACAAGAAAGAGAGATAGAAGGAATGTATGAGGGAGGAGGATCCTTATAAACATAGACTTAGGTTAGCAAGTATTCTACATACTACTCTTAAATAACATCATCTGAACACATTGTTTTAGTTTTAGTAACTCATATTGGTATTAATAATCCTGATAATCGCTTCTCGGCCTTTTGGCTAAGATCAAGTGTAGTATCTGTTCTTATCAGTTTAATAATCCTGATATTCTGTGAGACCCAATGCACATAAAGAGTTTTGCTGATAAAAACGATGTGATATTCCAGTTTACTCTTTTGTAAGTCTTTGAAATCAAACACAACTTCTTGTACAGAAAATTCAGGTGTGATGGTGAATGTGCTCGTGTCTGTTACCTTGGTGTCCAAGATGCTACCCTCGCTTCCTTCCTAGTACCACAGTGAACAAGGAGCTGTAACCAATGGCATGACTGAAGCTTGTAGCTTCCTTCATAACACAGACAATAACAATCGAGCTATACATTATACAATACATACAGCTATACAATACATCCCTATTTTACAGATGAGAAGATGGAAATTCAGTGCACTGACTGATCCTGACCCACACAGTCTAAAGAGAGATGTCTAACTCCATAGACCAGGCTCTTTGTGCTAGTCCTGGCTGCCTCCTTCACTGCTGCCAAAAATCTAAGGAGCCTTGATCTAAAGATTTGGCAGGAACTTAATGATTCTTTATGAATAATGATAAGAGAGAAACATAAGCAATTGATTTATTATGGTGGCAGGACTAGAATATTTCCTTTCCTTTATTTACTATTCTGTGGAAAAGATACGTGCTGTTTATGTAACATAGAGTAACATATTCCAATTAATTTATTAGTTCCTGGGGTCCCTGGGTGGCTCAGCAGTTTAGTGCCTGCCTTTGGCCCAGGGCGCAATCCTGGAGTCCCAGGATCGAGTCCCACGTCGGGCTCCCAGCATGGAGCCTGCTTCTCCCTCCTCCTGTGTCTCTGCCTCTCTCTCTCTATGTCTATCATAAATAAATAAATCTTTAAAAAAAATTTTATGAGTTCCTCCAACCCTTCCCTTTCTTTATACTGCACCCTAACATTGAGCCATAATAGCAAAGATACTTGGCCTGGATTACACTTTAGTCTCTGCATATGCAGAAGCATTTATTGAGGACTTCCTGGGTGGCATTATTTAAATTTTCTTATGCAAGCCTCTTTGATAACATTCTGATTTCAGAAACATTGAATCACTGTACTTATAAAATTTAAGATAAAGAACATTATCTGTATGCAGAGTGCTTAGAGGCAACTACAAACTGAACCATAGCATGTGCTACCTCCAGTTTTATCAAAGCATACTTGCTAACATTTAGATTTAAGTTTAAGATTTGATTGGTACTAGTGCTGTTCACTTTTATCACTTGAGGAAGGTTGATTTGCACTAAGCATAAAATGAAGTGGGGTATTCAAATTAAGATATGAAAACTACCTGCCCCTAGAAGTATTCATTTTAATTGAAATTCTCCCTTATGTTTTCTGACCAGTGCTCCAGAGTTCATTGGTTCTTAAAGAAGTGGAAGGTGGGGATAGCCTCCCCAGGGGGATTTTCAGAATGGGGCTAATCATCACAATGGCTGGCACTAAGTAGATAGAGAATGGGAATACTGAATATCCTGCAATGTGCCAAAAGGAGGATTGTCCCCACCCCCAACCCCACCAATGACAATAGCCTGGCCAGGGAGCAACAGTGGAGAGCCCCAAGTAGACCCTATCACACAGGATGCAGGAGTAGAGACTGCACCTCATCACCCAGACACTGCAGTCATTCTATAGCAATGAAAGATGAACACATCACCCAAGGGTTAGATTTGGAAGAGGAATAAAACATCAAGGAATTGTTTTAAATGTAAGATGATTCTCACCCTTTTTGATTTGATTTTTTAGGAAAATGTTGAAGATGGCCAAGCAAGTATCTATCAATCTGTCATCACCAACACCAGCAAAGAAATGTCCTGTTTTAGTGACTTTCCAATGCCGGAGGACTTTCCAAACTTCCTGCACAATTCTAAGCTCCTGGAGTATTTCCGGATTTTTGCCAGAAAGTTTGATCTTCTAAAATATATCCAGTTCCAGGTATTGTATTTTGGGTAGAATGGTTTTCTCTAAATATTTTCAGCTCACACTTAAATAGAAAAGTTACTCTGGTAATGAAAAAAATTGTGGGGGATCCCTGGGTGGCTCAGCAGTTTAGCACCTGCTTTTGGCCCAGGGCGTGATCCTGGAGTCCCGGAATCAAGTCCCGCATCGGGCCCCCTACATGGAGCCATCTTCTCCCTCTGCCTGTATCTCTGCCTCTCTCTCTCTCTCTTTCTCTGTGTGTGTGTGTGTGTGTGTCTCATAAATAAATAAAATCTTAAAGAAAAAATAAATTGTGAATAAAACAAAGTATTCCAGTCCAATTCTTTACTGAAAGATAAGAACATGATACAAAACCCAAAAAGTACTGTCACTACCCCTGATATTATAGATGTATACACACTGGCAGAAGAGGAAAATCGCCTGTTAAAATTTGAGGTTTGAATAATGATGATATTGATGATGAAACGGTACTTATACTAATATCTAAACTACTGCAGTCTCTTAGCCTCATTTCCCTTCAGAGGACAGAAGGAAAAAACTCAAACTATTTCATTTTTGGATTTTCTCTGTAGAAATAGAATTTCTGAGAAAAATGTACCAAATAAGCTCACAGTTCTCCATTCATTTATTTCATAGGCCTGTAGAAACTATTTTTTGTATTTTGTTGGGGGGCATGATACTTTCTCTGACCACATAAGGATGGCTGGATCTTTTTTGAAAAACAATTAGAGCTATCTTTCCTATGCTCCTTCCAAAACAAATAATCAACAAGAAGAAAACAATATTCTCACTAAACATGCTGAATTTTTATCAATAACCTACACTCTGAAAACTAGTAACTGTGCTTAAGAAATAAAATTAACTTTTATCTCTGAATAAATAACTGTTAGTAGAGCTTATTTTTTGTAACACATCTCATTTTCTCAGCAATTTCAGTTTTGTTCTAGGTTTGTATTATATTGATTTATAATAGCTGATTGTGGGTGGAAATCTATATTTGTAAATACCATTAAAATGCATCTAATGGGGATGCCTGAGTGGCTCAGTGGTTGAGCATCTGCTTTTGACTCAGGACATGATCCGGGAGTCCTGGGATTGAGTCCTGCATCAGGCTCCCTGAAGGAAGTCTGCTTATCCCTCTGCCTAAGTCTCTGCTTCTCTCTGTGTCTCTCATTAATAAATTTTTTAAAAGTCTTTAAAAAATGCATCTAATGTAGTTTTCCTCATTTCCTGGTGGATCCATCCTATGAATAACAGATATTTTTTATACCAGAAGCTTTTATAGGTCTTTGTCCACTTGACTACCAATTTATTTAATAGCTTTATTGCCCTGCTATGGTATGTAATTTATATAATCTGTTCTTTGAAAGATCGGGTTAAACTTGCAAGAGAGCTTATTTATTGTGTTACTGCTGTTGGGTTTCCTGGAAGTTAGAGAGGGGTTAGGAACACTCATTTCCATTATTGGTCTCTGAGTTGATATAAGCCATAAGATGTTAGGGCCCCACTCAGCCTATAAAAGTCTCAATTGGATTTCTAATAACCTCTGAAGATGTTGGTTCTTAAATCACATTTTGAATAGCAATAATTTACAGTACTTTAGCTAATCTACTATCCTAAACTGCAAATCTGAAATGTTCACTCTCACCCAAGAATACCCAGACATTTTATAGTCTTTTCACAAGCTTTACACTAATGGTCTATATATATTTTTTAGTTGAAACAGCCTCAATTCCTATTAATGGGATTCTGACAATGTGCCAGACACTATGCAAGGTGCCTCACATGAAGTATTTTCTCTAATACAGAGTCTGCACAGTGGTAGGCACATAAAAGTTTCTTAATAATACTGTGTGATCATTTGTATGATGAAGAACTGTTCTATATCTTGCTCAGACTTTGTCTTTCTTTTATGTGTCTCTCTCAAGTCCTTATTCAGTCCTTAACAGACTGATTCCCATGGCTAAGTACCATATTCTTGGTAGCTCCCTGCCAAAGAAGAATGAGAAGGGGACACTTAACAGTCTTTGCCTTAAGTGGCTTGAACTGGGGATTCAAATGGAACCTAGAGTCACACATTGCACTCTACCTATTCCCACTCCCAAGGTACTGGGTGAAGCCCTTGTTATGCCAGAGTAATGCTCAGTGATGCCTTCTCTGTGTTCATTCAAGACAACAGTCCTCAGTGTGAAAAAACACCTGGATTTCTCATCCTCTGGCCAATGGGAAGTTGTTACTGAGAGGAACAGCAAGAAGCAAAGTGCTGTCTTTGATGCAGTTATGGTTTGCAGTGGCCATCACATCCTCCCTCACATCCCACTGGAGTCATTTCCAGGTGAGACCTCTGGAGATTCCCAGCCTTTCAGAGTAGGTGTTGTTGGGGAAGAAAAACTTCCCTCTATACTTCAACATTCTTTTGGCTAGTCTGAGTTAAATTAACATGAAACAGATTACTAGGAAAAAATAAAATTCAAGTGTGTCTGGGTGGCTCAGTCAGTTAAGAGTCTGCCTTTGGCTCAGGTCATGATCCCGGGGTCCTGGGATCAAGCCCCTCCTCAGGCTCCCTACTCAGTGAAGTCTGCCTCTCCCTCTTCCTCTGCCCCTCCTCCCTCATGTCCTCTCTCTCTTTCCTTCTCTCTCTCTCTCAAATAAATTTTTTTTAATTTTTAAATAAAATGATGCATACAGCGACTTGATAAGAATATGAGGCCAACAGGCAGTCAGGCAATTGAGGCTTGTGTGTCATTCTGAGCTAATAAGAAGGGGGTAGGGGTTGGGGACTATAAAGGGAAGGAAGACAATTCACAGGAAGATGAAAAAGGGTAAATGTTCGGTAAACTCATGTTTACTGGGCCACTCAGAAAGCATGAGACACAGAGAGGAGAATTAACAAACAGACTTTGATAAGTTCCTCCCTATCTACCTCACCTAGTTCATATTATACTGTAGTTATCTACGGTGTCAGCTCCCTTCCTAGAGCAGGTCCTCCATCTAAATTCTTTTAGGCAGTTAGGAGGGAAGTCAAAGGTTTTTCTGAGCCTTCTGTTTCTTAAAAATTATTAGCCTAAAATAATCCACATTCCAGGGAGACACATTTGAGGTGATTGCTTCCCTACAGTGTCCAGGCATTTTATATGCAGATTGGATTGACAAGCAGAATTAACTACTGCAACTGGGCATAACATTAAGATCTGGATAGAGCTATAAAGATGAAAGTCTCCACATTCCAACTTTGTTTCTATTGACCTCTTTGGGTCTTCATGACACAGGGACTTCAGCCTACTTCCTCCGAAGTTAGTAAATCTTCCCCAGAATTCCAGAGAATTTTCACCCAACAGAGGGGTTCTCTGTTGGAGAGGCCCTCATAGCCATGTATACTATCTTGGCCTTTATCTATCCTGCCAAACACTGTTACTTTGTTGTGTCCTTGGAGACTTTTCCTCAGAGCCATGCCTACAGATAGGGTTATTGAGGAGATTCCCTGGGAATAAGTGCTCCTACAGGACCATGATGGGTACAGAGAGAGCAGAGGAGAGGAGTGCAGACAATGGAACCCCACACGTGTCTGTCCTGGTACCTCCCAGCCCCTTCCCTCAGAGAGCATACTTCCTTCTCAAGACCCTCAGGGAAACATCTAATACAGTGGTTCACAGTCGAAGCCTCACATTCAAACCACCTGTGGAACTTCTAATATCCTAATGACCTTCAAAAGTTCAATTGGTATAGGTAGACCTAGATCAATTAGGGATTGCTCAAATGATTTTAATATGTAGCCAGGCATGAGATCTTCTACCCTAAAGCAGTGATTCTCAAAAATAATGACTTGGAGAGCTTTTAAAACCACAACTTGCTAGGCTCCATCTCTGACACTTCCAACTCGGCAGATATGGCATCATGAAGCTGAGAATTTGCATTTCCAACAAGTTCCCAGGTTCCAACTAACAATGCTGGCCAAATGACCACACTTGGCAAACTAATGACCTAAAGGTTCTTTCAAGCCATTCACCATCAAAGACAAATACTTTAATAAAGTCATATTTTTCTGGGAAAGAGACAGGCTTATCTTCAAAATGGCTTATCCAGTAAGTTACTGACTCACTGCACTGTGGAAACCAACCTTCAAATTCTATGTGCCTGGTTTTTCTTTATTTTAATTTTCATTTGCTTTTGCAAAATAAGAATGATATTCTAATTATTACACAACTATAATAAAAGCACTTCACAATATGTCCAAAAACACTTAAAAGAATACATGTGCTATATGATATTAAACTATCATTTGTAGGGGCACCTGGGTGGCTCAGAGGTTGAGCATTTGCCTTTGGCTCAGGTGTGATCCTGAGGTCCTGGGATCGAGTCCCACATCAGGCTCCCCCGGGGAGCCTGCTTCTCCCTCTGCCTGTGCTTCTACCCCTCTCTCTGTGTTTCTCATCAATAAATAAATAAATTCTTTTTAAAAAAATAAAGTACCACTATACAGTCCAAAATTAGATAATGAGTAGTTGGAAGCCAGCATCTGTCTCTGCTCTAATCATCAAAACCATTTACTAAAAAAAAAAAAAAAAAAAAAAAAAAAAAAAAAATTTACTTTTTTTAATAAATATGAAAGCTGCAGGCTCTGAAATCAACTCTTTTGGTCCTGTTCCATATGCATACACTAACATTTCTCATATACTTTATGCTTTGAGTTTGCCAATCAGCCTTGCCATTGTAACTGTCCTAAGAGGGGAAGAGGCAAAACAAATAATTGACTCTGGAAAAAGAAAAGCTGTTAATGCACTTTTATTGAAATTAACATAGTTCATGGACTTCTCTCTTCTTTTCCTTGAAGGTATCGAGAGGTTCAAAGGCCAGTATTTCCATAGCCGCCAATACAAGCACCCAGAAGGATTTGAGGGGAAACATATCCTGGTGATTGGACTAGGGAACTCGGCCTCAGATATTGCCGTTGAGTTGAGTAAGAAGGCTGCTCAGGTGCGATGCTCTCTGCTTATTTTGTACCATGGAGGAGAGAAAGGAGGAGGGGTATATTGGAAAATCCCAGCCATATAACCAATGCTTCATTACTCATTAATTGGTGGTTGGTTGGTTGGTTGGTTGGTTGGTTATTTGGTTACTACAGTGTGGTATCATAAAAAATCTGGAAGTCAGGAAGCCAAGGTTTACCTCCCAGCCCTGCTACTTATCAGCCATGTAACCTAGAGCAAGTCTTTTACTTCTCTGAACCATACATGTGATATGTCATCTACACAGTAGATTCCTCCCTAAAGGGACAATGCCTTGATTTAAACAGCATTCCTGTTTGCTTACCAGGTATTTATCAGCACCAGACATGGTTCCTGGGTCATGAGCCGTATCTCTGAAGATGGTTATCCCTGGGACATGGTATTCCACAGCCGGTTTAGGTCCATGCTCCGAAATGTCCTGCCACAAACAATTCGAAAATGGATTATGGAACAGCAGATGGATCGGTGGTTCAACCATGAAAATTATGGCCTTGAGCCTCAAAACAAGTAGAGTTCTTTTGCTTCTTTATGGTATACTCATTGGTAAGCAAGGTTGTCAGAGGTACCTCTTTATAAAGAGCCAAATTGCTAACATGGTATTTCAAACTACAACCTAAGAGTATGAGTATCATAGACATCCTGGAATTTGAATTCCAAATTTGTTCTGTATATCTTTTAAAAATTAAATACTTAAGAAGATGAGGTATAAATATTTTGAACTTTTTATGGCTGAGTAATATTCCATTTTGTACACCACATCTTTTGTATCCATTCATCAGTTGATGAACAGTTAGATTGCTGCCATATTTTAGCTATTGTAAATAATGCTGCAATGAACATGGGGATGCATATGTCTTTTAAAATCAGTGTTTTCATTTTCTTTGGGTAAATACCTAGTAGTGGAATTACTGGGTGGTATAAATTCTATTCTTAATTTTTTAATGAACCTACACACTGTTTTCCACAGTGGCTGCACCAATTTGCATTTCCACCAACAGTGCATTAGGGTTCCTTTTTCTACACATCCTCACCAATACTTGTTATTCCTTGTGTTTTTGGTTTTAGTAATTCTGACAGGTGTAAAATAATATCTCATTGTGGTTTTAATTTGTCTTTCCCTGATAATTAGTGATGTTGAACATCTTTTCATGTGTCTGTTAGCCAACTGTGTCTTCCTCAGAAAAACATCTCTATTCAGGTCTTCTGCCCATTTTTAATTGGATTACTCAGCCATAAAAAAAGAAATGAAATCTTGCCACTTGAAACAACATGGATGGGCCTAGAGGATATATGCTAAGTGAAATAAGTCAGAGAAAGACAAATACCATATGATTTGATTCATGCATGGAATTTAAGAAATAAAAGAAACAAACAAACAAACAAACAAAACAGACTCTTGAATACAGAGAATAAACCGATGGTTACCAGAGGGGAGGTGAGAGAAGGGATGGATGTAAGAGACAAAAAGAATTAAGAGTACACTTATCTTGATGAGTATTGAGAAGTGTACAGAATTGTTGAATCACTATATTGTACATCTGAAACTATTATAACACTGTATGCTAATTATACTTGAATTAAAAAAAAAAACAAGTTAAAAAAAAAGAAATATTATGAGCTACTCCAGAAAGCAGAACTTGGATTATAGGAAGAAGTCCCTAATACCCAAAGCTGTCCAACAGTGGAAAAGACTGCTTTAAGAGATTGCAATCTTCCTTTCAAAGGGGTGTGGTGGGAAATGTGTTCCGAATTCTCCATGTGATAACTCATGCTTTGCTAATTCTGTACACCATAAGGGTTCTTCCCATGAGCAGCTTTTGAGAACATATTCATCATCTCTTTGCCAAAAAATAAATCTCTACTAAGCTCAAAGTTATATATCTTATCTTATAAACACAAGAAAACAGTATGTTTATTTTTCTTTAGTTGATAACAGGCTCCTTCCCTTTAAAAAATACAAAAACAGAAGAACTTTGGAATCTTTCAACAAATGCCATGTGACTGCTTAGTTCTGAGATCTGATACATGAGGCATGTATTGTCTTTTAAAAAAAATGGTTCTCAAATCTACAAAAATGGGAATTTCAGAAATACAACCAGACCTTATTACCCATGCTATGACATACAGAAACTCCATGGATATTTGGGATCAACAAATTCCCCAAACTTAACTTTATGCATTAGATTTTACACTGACTGGTCCTTATACTGGTCCCTTAATAAGACTTTCAAAACTAATGGGGATTTAACAAAAATTTCCTTTCTAATTTATGATCAGATATAGATTAAATGGAGCAACAAGATAATTAAAGGTAGATATCATAAAACAATAGTGGAAACATCAATGGGATGACAATGACTAGAATATTCAGGGACTGACCATAGGTACTGGTATTTAAGCCCTTGGGGATGCCTCCTTTTATGAAATGTCTTTTTACCTACATCACCTACATGTTTTCGCTTCTGTGTTGAGGGGAGAGATTTGTGAATGAAGTCACAAATGAAGTCAGATAGTAAAGTCTGGGGTAGGCCAACTAATCAAGTTAGAAAGTTTTATGGATATTTGAGAAACTTCTTTATTCAAAGAGCCAACCCCATAAAATATCAAGAGAGTTTCAAGATTCTTCATTAGATGTTCCCTCTAAGAGTTTTCTTCTGGGCATTTCAGATATCTTATGAAAGAACCTGTACTAAATGATGATCTTCCAAGTCGTATACTCTATGGAACCATCAAGGTGAAACCAAGAGTGAAAGAGCTCACAGAAACTTCTGCCATCTTTGAAGATGGAACAGTGGAGGAAGAGATTGATGTCATTGTCTTTGCAACAGGATATACTTTCTCTTTTCCCTTCCTTGAAGATTCACTTGTTAAAGTAGAGGATAAAATGGTCTCACTGTATAAATACATGTTCCCTCCTCACCTGGAGAAGTCCACTCTGGCATGCATTGGTCTCATCCAGCCCCTAGGTTCCATTTTCCCAACTGTTGAACTTCAAGCTCGTTGGGCTACCAGGGTCTTCAAAGGTATGTGAATGGGCAAGTGAGGGGCTGAGGGTTTTATTCCTGATGGAGTATGCTCAATAACGAGTTTAGGTATGGGCATTGCCAGTAAGAAATTTGCCAACCTTAGGCTGTGCTTGAGAAATTAACATGCTAAAAAATTAGTGGAGAATTTGCAAAATAACAAATACAGAGATAAAATAATAACAATAATGATAATAAAGATCTACAATCATCTCTTTAAAATATTAGAAAGTTCAGAGAATTTCAATTATCATAAAACTAAGTACATATTATCCTTTCCTGGAATCATGAGAGAATAGTTGAGAAGCAAAAGTTCCATGACTCATGGTTTTACCTATATGATGTTTATAAATTCCTCTGTGCAAATCTAGAGACCCATACAATAACTCCAAATTAACTCTTAATACATTAAGAATCTCAGTCTCACAGATTCTTACAAAGTTATAAAGTTATTGAAAGGTTTCTGTGTAAGTAACTATATAGCACTTTGCATTCCTCAGAAGGCTATTATCTCCCTGACCCCAGGGTTCAATTCAGCTCAAACAAAACTCATTGAATACCTACCCTTGTGATGGAACCTGGTAGGATAGAGAGCAATTTAAACAGATTATTTCCAGGTATTAAGACAAATGCTTTGTAGAGGGATGCATGGAATACATGAGAAGAAGACAAGGGTGCTCTGCAGTAGCAGAGTGGAATAAAGGAGGGCATATGGTCCAGGAAAACTTGCTAGATGACCAGGTTTCTCAGATGCAGAAAAAGGGAATCACTTAAACCAAAGCACAGAGGCATGATGGATATGGAGAAATACAAGTTATTTGACATTCCCAGAACATGACATGTGAGGCAGAGAGGGGTGAGAGACCATTCTTTCAGGAGAAGAGCCAGGACATGGGAGCCTTGGAAGACATGCTAAGAAGCTTACAATATAAAACATAAGTTGGCTCTTTCCACATCTGGCCACACATAAAATCATCTGGTGGACCTTTGGGGACTCTGGTTAAGTCTGGCCTAGGGACAGACCTAGAATCTCCATTTTAAAAAGCTCTTCAGCCAGAGGACCCAATGAAAGGTAAGCAAGGAATAAACATTATCAGATTTACATTTTCAATAGATTATTTCAGCATCAGTGTGGAAGATAGATTTGAAATGAGAAAAGAATGGGGTCTCTGAGATCAGTGAGAAGGCCACTACACTGTAAGGCTCTGCTGACACATGATGTAGCTGAGCCAGGCAAAGAGACAAAGTGGAGAAGACAATAGAAATGTGAGAAATAGGGATAAAAATCCGCAGGACAGAATGATCGGCTGAATGTAGAGCATCTGAGAGGAGTAGGGAGGAATCACAGATGACTTGCAGATCTCTGGCCATGGGAACTGGATGGACAGCAGGGCTCTGAATAGAGAGAGGACATGTGGAAGAAGATGCAAGTCTGACCAGGAGGGCTTCAGTGATGGGCTCGGTTCTTATCTCATTGACTCTAGTATGTCTGATAACTAGCTGTATCTAGAGGAAACGGACCATTTCAACATGTCTGAGAATACCTGTAGACAGGGATGGAATCATAAGCACACAGTAATAACTCCTGCATTAATCTACCTTCTCTGTCCCCACTGCTCCACTTCACCCCCACCAGGTTTACTTCAACAGCCTCTTAACTGGTCTCACTTCCTTTAAACTCATTTACCTAGAGCCCATTTTCCAAAATTCACCAGCTAGAAGGATCTTTCTAAAGAGCAAATCTGATCTTGTTACCACCTGCAGAAAACCCTCCCATGGCTTCCCATCACATTCAGAATAGAGCTCAAGCCACCTGGCAAGGCTTCCAGCTCTTCAGGCTGGCCTTCCTTCTCTAGCCTCTTTTCTCACTCCCTCCCCATCAGAGTTCATGCTGTAGCCCATGCTCCCCTTGAGGGCAACATAACATAGAACTCAATAAGAGAGGCACACCCTGGAGTCCAACAACACTGCAGTCCTGACTGGCATAACATGGGTAAATAGCCAGAGTTTAATTGTAGGAATCAACTACTATAAAAAGCAATGATATTGAATCAACCCACTACTCAATCCAGCCTTTTATTTCTAGGCTTGTGTACCTTGCCCTCAGGGAGCACTATGATGGCGGACATTATCAAGAGGAATGAAAAAAGAATAGATCTGTAAGAATTTTTCTTTAATTCTTTACATAAAGCAGTGTTTCTCCAAGTATAGTGACCTAACTACCCTCAAAACCTACTTAGCCATTTCTTAAAAATGCAAGTTCCTGGATCACAACCCAGACTAACTGAATTGGAACCTCAGGATGAAACTGGAAATTTGTGCTTTTATGTTCTCCCTAGGTGATTTATATACATACTAGTTTAAGAACCAACTATATGAAGATAGAATTTTTACCAAATCAGGACTTTTTTTGGACTTAATTTTATTTCAGTTTTGTATGATGCCCATGTTAGATTCCCTATCTTCTCAGGCTGCCCACTCTCTGTGGGGAGAGGGGAAATGGAATGAGAACAGCAGTAGTGATAGTGGCCCGAGTGTCTCTGAAAAGCTAGCTGGGGGATGTCCTATCAAAGTAAATTAGGAGTTGGTGTGAGATGAAAGTAGATGTATGCTTTGTGATAGGATAGAATGGGGTGCAATAGTGATCATGCACCCTTGGACAGTAGACTTGGGCGCCTGACATCACACATAGGAGATGTCTCATGGTCAAATTCTAATTAATCTAACATTTATTGAGCAGCTCTTATATGCCAGCCAGAGTGCCAACTGCTTTAATAATTTAACAAGCAAATACTAAACAAGACACTCAGCTAAGCTTTCATCTGTGTTAGCTCATGAATTTTTGCAGCTTGACTAATTTGTACTTGCCTAGAGAACTGAAGCCACTTACTAAATATCAAATAATAATCATGGTCATAAACTTTGTCACATCCCTAGAACTTCCATGAATTCATGGCTATTTATTTTACAGCCTACTCTCAATCTGAGATCTAAGCCTTCTGAAGGAATAAGCTCACACCTTCCACCAGAGATTGATTCAAACCTCATTTACTCATTCATCCCTTCATTGTTCCAACATCTATTGAACATCTACTGTTTTTATGTAACTTAGAACATTTTGTGAATCTACCCTTTTGCACTTTCTTCATTAAGGTTTGGAAAGAGCCTGAGCCAGACACTGCAGACCAATTACGTTGACTACTTGGACGAGCTTGCCTTAGAGATAGGTGCGAAGCCAGACCTCCTGTCTCTCTTGTTAAAAGACCCCAAACTTGCTGTGAAGCTCTACTTCGGACCCTGCAACTCCTACCAGTACCGCCTCATTGGGCCCGGGCAGTGGAAGGGGGCCAGGAGTGCCATCCTCACCCAGAAACAAAGGATACTGAAGCCTTTAAAGACACGGGCACCAAAAGCTTCAAGTGATTTCCCTATTTCCTTCCTGTTGAAAATTCTGGGGCTTCTCGCTATTGTTGTGGCCTTTTTTTTTCAGCTTCAATGGTTCTAATCCATCAGCATAAAGTTGACTTTAGTGTCAGTCAGTTCCTCTTAAAAAAGAAAAAAAAACTAAAAAAGAAAAAATACAAAATCTAGATTCTATATTTCAGAGTTGGGAGGAGCAGAGAGAGGTTGCTGTAGAGAATTCGAAGAATTAGGTCCGGGTAAAACACCAAAATGGTGTCATGAAAGTTCTTTGCCATTTCACTTTTCCTTCAAGTTCACCAGACTCTCCAAAAGGACAATTAAATAGCACTGGCTACATACTGCCAGCCCCCATGGAAGAGGGCTGTGTGGAAAAAAATAGAAATATGCAAAAGGAAAAACAAGCTCCATGGTTGAAAACATTGGAAAATTTCAATGGTGGGTAAATACTTAAACTCCTGCATGATGTTCTTGATAGTCTTCTTACTTGGACTGTATTTGGTAACAAAGCTCTCAGGAGTTAGGTCATGCTCCATTTGATTAGCAAGGAATCACTCAAAAGTCCTGGCATAAAAAATGAGAAGCTAGACTCAGAAATTGATGGCAATGATCAGGCAAGACTCCTGAGCTTCCTGGTGAAAGCTAAGCCAATAGCCACATTTCTTACATTTTGATAGAAACACAGCTATAAATATACCAAAACAGCTATATACATATTTAGTACTTATCATAGACCAGACATTGTGCTAAATGCACATCATATGTATTAACTTCATTTAAATCTCACAATAATTCTCCAAGATGTGTGAGGCTATTCTACCCATTTTACAGATGATGAAACTGAGACTCAGAGCAGTTGTGTAACATGCCCAAGACCATACAGCTGGTCTTGTATGGAGCTGGGATTGGAACCCAGTTTTGCTTGATTCTAGAACTGCAGATCATAACCTTTACCCAGAATATACTTATTTACAAAAACCCTTATTATTGATAAAGTACTTATTAACAGTTTATTATATTTGTAATCATATATATGTTGCTTTTGGAAGAACTTAATACAGATAACAGTATTCTTCTTGCAAATATAATCAATTAATTGTATTCATAATACTTGTTTTATAGACCAGCCAGATCTAAAAAGCATTTGAAGGAATTTACAATGAAAACCTATACAAGGCGGCGGCCTGGGTGGCTCAGTGGCTCAGCGGTTTAGCGCTGCCTTCAGCCCAGGGAGTGATCCTGGAGATCTAGGATCAAGTCCCTGCATGGAGCCTGCTTCTCCCTCTGCCTCTCTGCCTCTCTCTGTGTGTTTCTCATGAATAAATAAATAAATATTAAAAAAAAGAAAACCTATACAAGAACATTTAAGATAATCATTGGCATTTTGAAAAAACAAGCATCAAGGAAGAAGTATATGTCTCAAGTAGATGAAAAGCATTATAATAATTTAGCCTTGTATTTAGCTCTAACCTTAAAAATAACCAATGCAAAAAGTGAAACAATATGTAATCTCTGTCATTTGATAAAAGGAAGCATAGCAGTTTGTCAGGAGACATACATTCTTGGAACTGAAATCTAAAAAAGATACAAGCAATTCAACATCAACAGATATTGAGCAACATAATAAACATTTGGTTTATCAGTCTACTACAGTCATTCTCTGCATGAACTGTGCTTCGGGAAATAAACTATGCCCTAAGCCCAAGGCCTTTTGAAGAGGGAAAAAGTCAGAGATTAGAGATTTAAGCAAATTTCTCCTCTTACTCTTCCAAAGTCTGTGTGGAAACTGTTCTTCACTTTGGCCTGGATTTGTCCCTGAAGTATCCAGAGCAATGTAATGGCAACCTGTCAGTGGAAGCTTTATTTTTTATTGAAATGCAAAATAATTTTTCATTGTCCTATGGGCAGTTTTCTTTGAAAAAATTGCAGATGGTATATATACTTCTTGATTAAAAACTGATTACTTTGCTAATTATTAAAATTATTTGCCAGCCATTATGGCTTGCAATATATGGCTTGCAATATGATGCAGAAAGCCATTTTATTATTGATAAAAATAATATTGATAATAATAATAAATTGAAAGCCTTTATGGCTAGAACAGGTGAACTGTTGTCTGTGGATTAAATGCAGAGCACTACATATTTCTGTAAATAAAGTTTTATTGGAACACAACCACAAAATACATTTATGGTCTGTGGCTGCTTGCAAGCTATAATAGCAGAGGTAAGTAGTTGCAACAAAAACAGTGTGACTCACATGCTATAAAAAATTTAATTTTATTTCTTTAATCCTCAAACCCTTATTATGCATCAGCAGATTGAAACTCAATAGAGTCAAATGATCTTCCCAAGTTATGTGGCCTGTAAGTGGGTCCAGCTGGGCTTTACTGCCAGCACATGATGGTGTACCAGATAACGAACTGGAAAAAAGTCATTTATTCTTTGTTTTTCAGTGTCTGTCTTATATCCAAGATAAAAATGTAATTTTAATCAATTCTGTTCCCTCTCTACACACCAAAAATAAAATTTACCCCCCAAGAATACTAAAAACTACAAGTTGTCAAAGATTCACAAATGCTCTTAATATGTCTGATAAGATGATATAAAAGTATATTAATGTCTACATTAATAAATATTATATTAATTTAGGTATTAAAATATCTAAATAAGAATGGGAACTGCATTTGTTTAAGAAATAGATATATCTTCACAAGTGCCTGAGGAAAAAAAGAGAGACTTGAGGTTTGGGCAGAATGGGGTTCTGCAGGAGAAAAGAGAAATGCTCAAGTTACTTAAAAGAGGAAGAAAGGAAAGAAAAGAAAGAAAGAAAGAAAGAAAGAAAGAAAGAAAGAAAGAAAGAAAGAAAGAAAGAAAGAAAAGAACAAGGGATGCCAGGGTGGCTCAATTGGTTAAGTGTTGGACTCTTGATTTCAGCTCATACCATGATCTTAGGGTCGTGAGATGGAGCACCCTGTTGGAGTCCACACTCTCTTCCCACTCTCTCTCTCTCTCTCTCCCTCTCTCTCTCTCTCTCTCTCTCTCTCCCTCTCTCACAAAAATAAATAAATATTTTTTAAAATATTGTGAGGTACAATTAAAAAGAAAGAAAGAAAAAAGAACAAAAAGGAAGAACAGAGCCAGTGAGATAGCAGAATGCCATGAAGGGAGCAATGTAACCTCTCCCTGTAACTCCCTAAAGTTTCAGTAAAGTTGTTAAACACAACAATATTTGGTGGAGGTGCACTTTTTATGGAATACAGAAGGAGCGAAGCTCTGTACCTACACTGGTATAGGGCAAAACAGAAACAGTATAATCAGGGAATTAATGCAGACAGGGAGAAGGCTATGAAGAAGCAAAAGTCTGCAGAGGATTGTGACATTTGGAGCATGTGCCTAAGAACAGGGTGACCCTGTCTGCTGTGCAAGTTACATATATTATACATCAAATAAGTTTTCACATCACCTAAGCCTTAGAAAGATTTTGTGTAAATACAAACGACCTACTTGGAGTCCTTATTCCCACAACACTCATAACATCATGGAGAAACCTGGATATTCCCCCTCAAGCAAAGAGCTGGCCTGCAGTTCATTCATTCACTGAGGGCATGTTGAGTGCTCACCCTATGGTGTCTGAGAACACCAAGATAAACAAGAAAAAACAATGCAAACTTTGGAGGTTTAGATCACTGACTTATGCAGAACTTACAAGGTTATTATCACATTATTATCTCACCTGACCTTGTATGTTAAGCAAACAAGAATGATTACCCTAAATAATCATTTGTATGATTATTTGTAATTCTTATTTGTACCCTAAATAAGAATATGAGAGAATTCTGATTCCTTGCCCCTGTCCTTCCTGCTTCACTATACTACACTATACTCTTCTAAATATGTCACCATGGAAGCTTTTCCCATTAATAAAAGACCCCTTGAAAAAAAACAAACAAACAAACAAACAAAAAAGACCCCTTGGACAGTTACAGGGTAGACCTTGGAGTGATATGACAGTTTCCAACTCACTGCTGTAGGCTATCCCCACAAAATTCTCATCAAGCTACAGAGACTTGAAGGGGACTCTAAAAGAAAGGAGCTGCCATTTGTTCCAGTCCTTATGTGATAGAGATGTGAGTTACTGATCCACCACTGTTGGCAGAGAAAGGACCCATTCCAAGTAAAACACTTGGTGTTAAGTAGGCATGGTACCCTCTCCACCTCCCTAATCAGTCCAACTATTCTGCAAATAAAGAACAACCTCAATGTGAAAGGCACATAGGGAATTACCCACTCTTAAGATAATCAATCAATCAATCACCATCTAGAAAGGTGGAGAAGACCTATCTAGGTAGGGAACCCCTTGATAGATAGATAGATGATACATAGATGATAGATAGATAGATGATAGATAGATAGATAGATAGATAGATAGATAATGTTTGGCAGGTGGGAGATGATAGGTAGGCACTTCCGGTTTTCTTAACTTTGTTTTTAGTGGGAGAAAGAAAAAAAATTGTACTGGGTAAGTCTAATTTACAACTGGGACTAAAACTAAGTAAATTCTATGATCACTTTCAACTCTTAGATTCTCTAGCTCTAGCTACACATCAGAGTGGGATAAGGGAGAGGGGGGAGCAGGGTAAGAGAGGAAGACTTCAAAAGATGATTTAGAAATACAGTGAAGGAGCCAGAAACATCCCTCTAGTGCATCCATCAATAGAAGGTAGGTAAGGTGCCCTAAAAACCAATCCCCAAATCTCAAAACCCTGAAGTAAGACAGATTCCTTCTCTTTCATGTTAGACTCTGCTCATCAGAGTCACGCAGGCATTAAGGCTAATGGAACAGCCCTGTTGAACGTAGCTGCTGCCACACTGAAGACAAAGCACTCTGGGGTCTTATACTGGCAACTAACCACTCTGAGCCCAGAAAGGACATGTGTTACCTTGGTTCAGAGTTTGCTGACCAGAACTAGTCACATGTTCCCAGCCAAACACTAAGAGACCAAGAAGTTCAATCTTACCATGTACCCAGAAGGCAGAAAGTCTAAAATATTTTCTGAAGAGCAGTATTGTCTACCAATCTGGCTTCTTAGGGCATAGGTCCACTTCAAAAAGGGGACTGGATAGTTTTCCCTATCCCATGGCCTTAGGAACAGCTAATTTACAATAAGCACAAATTTTTTTTTAATAAGCACTAAAATTAACAGAAAAAGATGCCACTGAAAGCCAGTGTTCTCGTTTTTAATTACTACAAATCTCTTGCTAATTATGGGAACTGAGATAATCTGATAAATGATCATGTTTATGCTCAACCAACATTTTAAGTTCTTTGTTTCTACTGATGTCAGCAACATGCCTGGTCAGGCCCGGGGACCTACTACGTGTTTACCAAAGATGCGTGTATGTATCAAGGTGAGTGCCTGAGTGCTAAGGTTCTGGGCACTAATTGTAGCCCCAGCTCTTAAGGTAGGTGTCCCCAACTCGATGTCAAAGATATTTTTGGCTTTTAAAAACATGCTTGAGGGATCCCTGGGTGGCGCAGCGGTTTGGCGCCTGCCTTTGGCCCAGGGCGCGATCCTAGAGACCCGGGATCGAATCCCACGTCGGGCTCCTGGTGCATGGAGCCTGCTTCTCCCTCTGCCTATGTCTCTGCCTCTCTCTCTCTCTCTCTCTGTGACTATCATAAATAAATAAAAATTTTAAAAAAAAACATGCTTGAGGGGCACCTGGGTGGCTCAATCGGTTAAGCATCTGACTCTTGGTTTTGGCTCAGGTCATGATCTCAGGATGGTGGGATAGAGCCCTGAGTCAGACTCTACTCTCAGCACAGAGTCTGCTTAAGATTCTCTGTCACTGTGCCCCTCCCTCCACTTGTGCTCACTTTCTTTCCCTCTCTCTCTCTCAAATAAATAAATAAAATATTTTTTAAAAATGTTTTTTAATAATTTGAAAAACATGCTTGAACTAATAATAGTTTAGAAGGATTACTTTCTGAGTAAAAGCTAGCTTTGAAATCATCCAAATATTATCATCTTCATCGCTGCAGGAAGACAGCTGAAGTCAACACAGCTAACAATGCTGTCTCCATGCCAAGTCTAAATAGCCAGAAATAAGGGAAAGGGTAATCCTCATGAGCAAACAACAGACTCAGTGATACAAAAGGTCCTCTGGATACAGAGCTTAAGTGTGTGGTTATACTATAATGGAAATCAGGAAAAAGAAATTTATTCTTCCAGAACCTTCCCCCTGCTTCATTCAGCCTTACCTATCTGTCGTGGAGTTTACTCTCTGTGCCTGTGGGAGTCATTTCAATATTATGAGTCAATAATCAAGACACCTTATCTGGCCTGGCAGTGACATCATCATCACCATCATCACAGCCACACACAGTGTTTACTATGTACAAGACTCTGCTTGGCTTCTCCCATCTCATCCCCTTGACAGCCATCTGACTTATATGTTATATTTTAATTGAGGAAACTTAATTTTTAAAAAGTTATATAATTTTCCCAAGATTACTCTGATAACAACTCTTAGAGACAATACTTGAACCTAGGACTTGGGACCAAAAGGTCATGCTCTGCCCATATATTTATATTTCCCAAATGTCTGGGCAATCATCTGTACCTAAAAAGTCTTTTTAAAATTAATTGAATGGGGTGCCTTGGTGGCTCAGTCAGTTAGGAGTCTGCCTTCATAATCTCAGGGTCCTGGGATCAATCTCAGGGTCATCAGGCTCTCTGCTAACCGGGGAGTCTGCTTCTCCCTCTCACTCTACCCTGTGTTCTCCCTCTTTTGCTCTCTCAAATAAATAAATAAATAAATAAATAAATAAATAAGTAACCTTTTTTAAAAAATGAATTTGACAATGTGGGTGATGTATGGTTTAAAAATAACAATTCTCTCTAAATGTGAAATGGATCAAACCCTTAAAAATGAATCTTTGGTGTAGCGGCTGTTGACATGATTGTCTTATTTTATTTTCTCCCTCTGAAATGAGTGACAATTTCAGTGAAATTGATGAACAATGAAGATGCTACTGTGACTCCCTAAGTTAATTTCTATTTTGCAGGGACAAGTGTGGGTCTAAAGGGCATGTCACCCATTGTGAAATTGTTCAGGTCTGGGAGCAAACAGTCAAGAAAGAATTCATGAGACATCTTCAGTGCAAAAAAAGGTGGTTTTATTAAAGCATGACGACAGGACCTGTGGGCAGAAAGAGCTGAATAGGGTTGTGAGGAGTGGCTGATTATATACTTTCAAGTTGGGAAGGGAGTAAGGAGAGTGTAAGTCTCTAAAGAATTTGGAAGCAAGGTTTCCAGGACCTAGAGGGGTCGTTTACTGCTGTCTAGTAAAACCTTAGTCATGGGAACCTTCACATGTATATCAGTGGGTCATATTTTTGGAGGATTATTGCCAACATATATCTTGTGGGGTAGAGATAAAGAAAATGTCCAAAGGGATTTTTTTAAGTAGGCTTTATGCCTAGTGCAGAGCCCAACATGGGGCTTGAATTCACAACCTAAGTTGAGATCAATATTCAGACACTTAACAGACTGAGCCACCCAGGTGTCCCCAAAGGGTCATTTTAATATGTTAAAGAAGACTTACAGGATCCTGGAGGTGGTCTAATGTTGAGCTAAGGTACATTTTGCCTCTAGCAAATATTAAGATCAAGGCAGTTGAGTTCCTAGAGGAAGGTCCCTCTGCCTGTCTCATCAATGGGCTGTAAGTTGTAAGGAAAT